ATCCATATTCAAAACGTAATAATCACTTTAATGTTGCTTGCGCTCACTGTTGTACATTTGAAGAAGTTCCGGGGGAATGACCTATGAGGTACCAGAGCTGGTATTATGCCAAATGGAGATTTCAAAAAGCATTGAATAAAAGGGTGCCGTTAATTGTGTCCAATATGTATTAGAGAAAAACATTTGTGTCATAATGATATTTCCGGGTATATTGTGAGGTGTACTAGTGGATGTGACGTTTTGTGTTGGATATATATGTAAATTGTCCAGGGTTTAAGTGGAAATTATTTAATGATTGTGGTAATTGAACATTGGCTAATGAATGATGACGTCAATATAATTAGTGATTTGAAAAGTGGGTGGAGGGATTGAATTGCTTTACACACTGAGGAAGGCCTTGAGCCAAAACGTTTGTGTCTTTTACCATCAGTAATGAATGTAAAAGAAAAGAAAAAGGAAAAAAGAAGATTGTTCTCGTGAGTGCGGATCATAATGTCCTATACTAAGTAACTCAACAGATTGACGCACCAAAATAAAAAGATCAAGTAACGCAAGAGCGCAGTGCAAACGACGTTGTTATAATGATATTTCCCCCATTTTAAATTCTTATTCTCCACTGAAAGGTTAGACTTATGTGAATTTTTTAAATAAAAGATAAAAATGATTAACAATGCAGATTTATTTTCACAGCCTTCTTTGATCATATTTACCAAGGATGCCAATAATTCTGACCACGACTGTAAGTGCTGTTTTCTAAGAAATGTATCAAAATTAAGTGAGATTTATGTGTTGTTTTTTTCCAGTACAAATATCTAGACACTTAAATCAACACATATTTACTTGAGACGCAAAATAAATCCAACAAAGTTAAGAGAGGTTTATATTTAAAATATGGGGTAAGAAGTATAAACGTCTCCCCATTGATAGATTTGTATTGTATTGTATGGTATTTATTTAGATTTAGATGTTTTTTCCTTCTGGTTTTAAACATTAAGCTCACTTAATTTTGAAATTGTTTTTTTTCAGAAATCAAATTTGTACTGAAAATTTTGTTTTTTCAAGAAAACAAGTGTTAATATTATAATATCAATAGTAATGGTGCTTTTAACATATTTTATTTAAACATTCTTAAATTAACATATATTGAGATGCAAAATAATTCAGCAAAGTTAAGTGAGGTTTATTTTTAAAACAAGACAAAAATATTGGGTAAGAAATATAAACTTAATTCAAACATTTTTCTTACCCTATTGGTTTTGTTTTTTTTATTTAAGATTTTGATTTATATTTTTTTCCTACTTGTTTTAAACAGAAACCTCACTTAATTGATATATTTTTTAGAAAACAAATGTGTACTGAAAAAAAAAGTTAAAGAACTTAAGTGTTAGTTGTACAACAAATGATAATATTAATAGTAATAGTAATGGTGCTTCTTTTTAACATAGTTTTTGATTAATTTATTATTTAATCAGACTGCCAAAATAAAAAAAAACTAAATATGAATTATTTACTTCTAATAATCAGCTGGACACCGCTCACTAAATTACACAAGGTCCTAATTAGGTTATTTGGCGCTGAGCGCCACGTCGTGCAATGAAGGTGGTGAGCAGCCAATTGTTCTGGTTGGACTCAAAGACGTTGCAAACCTGGTACGTTCGGATGGTGTTGAGGTTCTCGTCATAGCCGCTTACTTCCTCCCACTGGAAAAGAAAAACCATAGGAGGTTTAGCAGAACAAAAAGAACAATGGCAGATAACCACACATTATTAAAATGACATAAGGACTTGGGCTGGGTTTCACTATTCAATTCGATTCTGATTCACAAGCTTGCAATTCGAATTGATTCAATTCGATAACGATTATTTTGTATATACTGTATATCAGATACAATATGCTACATGCAAAATTTTCTCAAGGAAAAAAAATCTCTCAACTAAAATATACATCAGTTGGTACTACATCACTATAATAATGTAGGTTAAAATTAGCTGATTTGTATACAAGCGCTTAAATTACACTCAATTAGTTTTTATAATAATAAAGATACAATTACAATTATATTTCTACTCCAATTCACTTTTTGAAATATAAACATTTACATGGTGGCTGTGATAAAAAACTAGATGAATATATTCAAACAAATGAAACCCTGAAGAACAGTAAAAATTCGAATCAATGTTATGTGGTGCATATATTTAGCAAAACGCTCCTCTCTAGAGTTAATTTTTCTAGCTGACTAACGAGTTTACGGTCACCGAGTATGTTTTTTCTGAGGTAAATATGACGTTACGTGAATTTGTTTACAAGCTGTTATACTGACATCTTTCCGCAGTTGAAACACTGATTGAGCGATTACATGAGACAGGATACGGATTTTGGTAAGTTGTACCCTTTCTTTTAACATATCTTTGGATGCTTATTCATGTTTCATTCATGTTTATTTTGTGCTGAAACTGGTATTAAAGCGGAGGAGATATCAGTTCACTCGCACTTCTCTTGAACTGAGGCGCTACAGCGATCTATCACTCCACATTTAACAGTGCCAAAAACAGCATGTATTGTTTGAATACTGTAATAAAATGAACAGTATTGACAGAATTTGAAATCTGAGACTTTGTTTCATATCAAAAGTAATGTGTACATGAAATTGCGATTTATTGGATGGGAGGTTGTAACGAATTCAGTCCACTGAAGGCGAGCGTAGTGAAGAACCCAAGTGCAGTTTATTTACAGTGTGATCCAAACATCCAAACAATAATCTGAGACTTGACTTGACATGAACAGACTTGACATGAACAGACTAGAGTCACCGACAGCGGGTTACAACATCAACACACGACCAGGAACATTGACAACATGAAGGCTACTTATAGCAAACAATACAGGTCACATGACAAGAACCAACCAATGAGAGACAGGACAGATGACAAAAACAACCAATCAGAGCATGACACAAAGAACAGAGGAACCAATGGCATTAAGACAAGAGGGTAAGAGAAGCATGACACTAACAGCATGAAATAATACCAAAATAAAAGACATGAGAACATGACACAAAAACAAAACCCAAACCCCACATTACAGAGGTGTGCTACAATGTTCTGTTCATTAATGGAAAACAGGCAAGACTAATTGATTCTTGGAATTTAAGAATCAATATTTTTTCCTAAAAATGAGAATCTGTTCAAATTGAGAAAACTAAAATGGAATATAAATAATAGTTATGTCGAAACGCTTACAAATAATCTCTTAAGAAAGATAATATAAGATTTTTTTTTTTTTTGGAAATGACTCAGGGAATGAAACTTTTGAGTGAATAATTCAATTACGTATACCACACAAAAAGATACTCGTCTCCACTCACTGGCGTAATGATGAATAATTCTTGTCAATTGACAAATACATTAAACACAGTAATGTGCATTTTAGCACCCAGAGAACTTTCTGTTTTCAGGTAAATGGTGTGAAAAACCCTTGTTTCAATTTAAAATTGCAAGAGGTGCTTGCTGAAGCGGAATAAAGATGAGAAATAACACTCCTGGTCTATTTGATGCTATCGATGTGGAACCATGGCCTGAACTCAGACAGGTTTCTGCCTTTCATAAAATATTGATACAAATTGAGTTTCCAGAAACCTCTCCAACCCCATATTCCCCACCCAAAAAACCATCTAAAAGCTTTTAAACACTACATCACTTTGAAACTTTTTTTTTCTGTCTCTGAGATGATGAAACCTTTATGGCCTCTCTTTCCGAGATTCAGATCACAAAATCTGTCTCCCTAATCACCTGAGGTGGGCGAGGAAGCCGCTGCCATCTGCTATGGTCCAGGCCAAGTGCGTTCAGCCACTTACCATTACAATATTACCATATTATAAAATGTGATGCGTAACAAATTTGAGATTATGCGCTATCGAATTACAATTAGAAGTAAGTGGAGCAGTATATGGCTGCCCTCCTGCAACCCTGGTAAAACAGCACCAATGGCAGATTGTGAAACATGGCAATTGAGTTCAGACTGCTGCTGAAGAAGTTCTGCTGATGGTTGTGGACAGTACTGTCTAAAAAATTTAAAGTTACAAAAAGGGCCTGACAGCTTGATGCATTAAAACAGAGATTTTCAGACATTTTGATGCCAAGAACCCCCCAAATATGATGATGCCCTCAGAAACCCTTCCCTCCTAAAATATCTAATATAAATAATAATATAAAAACATTTTTCACAAATAAAGACCCATTTACACGGTGTGAGAAAAAGCATGGCATTATAAAAGATAAAACGTTAGCAAAATTATTTGTAATATTTTTGTATTGGCTCAGTACATTATTAAAATATTGTCTGAAAAATGCTGACTTTGTGTGATTTACACAATAAATGCAGAGTAGTTTTACAGTTACATTTTATAAATAAAAACGATTAATCACATTCAAAATAAAAGTTTTTATTTACATATATCCGTGTACTGTGTATATTTATTATGTATATATAAATACACACACATACAGTATTAATTTTGAAAACATTTACATGTATTTACATTCATTAGGGGTGCAACGGATCGTAGATGATCCGTGATCCGTACGGATCAGGCTGCATGGTTCGGCACACACGTGATTCGCGGATTAACTGTTAAATTAACCATCATAGAGTTAAAGTTTATAATTTGCACATGTTTTGTGTGCCGCACAAGCAGAGAGAGAGACACCGCGTGAACAGCGAATTGATTCCTCTTTCACATACACACAAAGTTATGTTAAAATACCCGTTTTGGCAAATATTCTAGTAAACACAGTCGGTTATGTCTTAAGTGAACGTAAACAACTGAGAAGAAAAACGGATGTGTGTCAGTATTAGGTCCGTGCATTTGGTCTTAAAGAGACAGCAGCCAATTAATACCTGCTTCTGTCTGCTAATCAAATAACACCACAGCTCTAACAAAGATTAATCTGTATTTAACTTGTGCAGTGAGCACTATTGTGTTATTTTACACTTAATTATTACATTTCTGCACCTGAATGCTACTGTTACTGACTTTATTTGTAAATTGTGTAATTGTTCTTGTTTTATTACTAACTTTATTAGTTAAGCTAGTAGTTTTTGCTGTGGTATAGAAGTACTTAAAGTAAGCTTTCACTAATTTTTGGGGGGGGGGGGTTTTGCTGATCCGAAAAATGATCCGATCCGTGACTCAAAATCCGTAATATGATCCGAACCGTGAGTTTTGTGATCTGTTGCACCACTAATATTCATAGAATTTATATTACATTTTTGTAATAAACGTAAATACATTTATGCATTTAGCAGACGCTTTTATCCAAAGCAACTTACAGTGCATTCAGGCTATACATTTTTTATCAGTATGTGTGTTCCCTGGTAATTGAACCCACGACCTTATTATATATTATTAAATATATTTAATACATAAACGTAACCTATTTTTTTTATATACATGCATGGGTGTGTATTTATATACACATAATAAATATACACAGTGCACACACATATACTACGTCAGGGGTGGCAAACTCCGGTCCTGGACAGCCGCAGCCCTGCAGAGTTCAGCTCCAAACCTAATTAAAACTCACCTACCTGTAGCTTTCTAGTAACCCGTCAGATCTTGATTAGCTTGTTCAGGTGTGTTTGATTAGGGTTGAAGCAAAACTCTGCAGGGCTGCGGCGATTAATCGTTTGACAGCACTAAAATAAATATATAATAATAACAACAAATCACAAATGAAAGGGTTCTAGGAGTGCAACATTTAAAATCAAAAATACAAATTATAAACATATTTTAAAAAATACATTTTTAAATCATATAATTTTTGTTTACAATCTTTATATTGTAACATTTATTTATACCAGTTTGAAAACCCCTGCCAAAAGAGTTCTTATCTGAAGTTAATTCACCCTACAATGAAAAAGCTGTCATCATTTACTCGCCCTCATCCCATTCGTTCATCTTCACATAGAATATTTGAATTGCAAACATGAATGAGATTTGACAGCTGTGGCAGAGGGCAAGGCTCTCAATGAAAGGCAACTTTCAATCACTTTCAGTGACTTTTCCTCTCACAAAGCCAACATTTGGCTTCAGAAGTCTTGAAACAAGTAATTCTTTTATGATATTTTGATGAGTACTTTTATGATCATTTTTGGCCCTTTTCGGAGCTTGTTGGCCCCAGGTCACTGTTGGTTGTCGCTGTATGGAAAAGAACAGTGTCAACATCTACGTTTGGGTTCTTCAGAAGAAAAAAAAGTCATACACCTCTGAAACAACATGAGGGTGAGTAAATGATTTAATGTTTCATTTAACCATATCTGTCCAAACACGTACAATCCATGCAGTTAAAAGCCTGATGCTTTACTACTGATCCGATCTAAGTCCCTCAGTCCCAGCAGTGGACAGCTGTGAGGTAAAAGCAGGGTCAGCAGTGGACAGCTGTGAGGTAAAAGCAGGGTCATGTTGCCCGTAAATGATCGCTTGCTGCCTGAACCGTTCAGTTCACTGTTAAAGCTGGATAACAGGCACGCCGCCGCACAGCCTTGTGGGTAATCTTTGCCATTTAACAGAGCAGGCTGACCGAATGAACCATCCTACGATATCCCAGAATTCCCTTGAGGTGGCACAGCCGTGGGAGAGGGAAACAAATACAAGGTTTGCGAGTGGGCTCTTGAGGGCTGTGAAGTTACGGTATCGGTA